ACTATACAGGGATACTACATCCATACAGGGATACTTACTATACAGGGATACTACATCCATATATTACTATACAGGGATACTACATCCATATATTACTATACAGGGATACTACATCCATATATTACTATACAGGGATACTACATCCATATTACTATTACAGGGATATACATCCATATATTACTATACAGGATACTACATCCATAGATTACTATACAGGGATACTACATCCATATACAGGGATACTACATACTATACAGGGATACTACCATACTATACAGGGATCCATCCATATATTACTATACAGGGATACTACATCCATAGATTACTATACAGGGATACTACATCCATAGATTACTAAACAGGGATACTACAACAACTGCTCCCCCTTTGTCCGCTGGTTTGATGGTGATGGCCTGATTATTGCGCACATCGTGTATCGCCCTTCACTCCAGTGGTGAAAGATTGTACAGAATTTTCTTTTGCTGGGTGGATATCAGGGATGTGGCTCGCAGTCTGAAGCTATCAATATAGGTGTCCAGTTTGGGGTTGCGTCCTTGTGGGGGGTGTGAAGCAGCTGTTCTCTTTCTTTGTGTAGCACTCCATTGTTCTAGGATTCCTTTCATTACTGTGGAAATATTCTTTGAGCCTTATGCAGGCCATAGACGGGTCGAAAATCGGCCAATTTTTCTTTTAAAAAATGAAAAAATCGGTCGTTCAAGCGGCCGACGTTACCATCAATGGTAAAAAAAAAATCGGCCGATTTTCATCCCGTCTATAGCCGGCAAAAAGTGTCCCTGCAGAGAGCTCCGCTATTTCTTTGACAGTTCCTTGACATTTACAGCGATTGCAACAATGTATCTATTTGTATCCATTTAGGATACAGATGTTTTTATTCGGAAACAAATAGATACAATGTTGCAACCGTTGTAAATGTCAAGGAACTGTCAAAGAAATAGTGGAGCTCTCTACAGGGACACTTTTTGCCGGCCTGGAATTCCTCTTATTTTTCATCCTTCTTCTTCATCATCATCCTCTTCTTCTTCATCATCATCATCATCATCATCATCCTCTTCTTCTTCATCATCATTATCCTCTTCTTCTTCTACTACTTCTTCCTCATCCTCATCATCCTCTTCTTCATCATCCTCTTCTTCTTCTTCATCATCATCATCATCATCATCATCATCCTTTTCTTCTTCTTCTTCTTCATCATCCTCTTCTTCTTCATCATCCTCATCTTCTTCTTCTTCTTCATCATCATCCTCTTCTTCATCATCATCCTCATCCTCTTCTTCTTCTTCTTCTTCTTCTTCTTCTACATCTTCTTCATCCTCATCCTCCTTCTTCATCCTCATCCTCCTCTTCTTTCTTCTTCTTCTTCATCCTCATCCTCATCCTCTTCTTCTTCTTCTTCTACTTCATCATCCTCATCCTCTTATTCTACTTCTACTTCATCATCATCATCCTCTTCTTCTTCTGCTTCATCCTCATCCTCTTCTTCTTCTTCTTCTTCTTCTTCTTCTTCTTCATCATCATCTTCTTCTTCTACATCTTCTTCATCCTCATCATCTTCTTCTTCTACATCTTCTTCATCCTCATCCTCTTCTTCTTCTACATCTTCTTCATCCTCATCCTCTTCTTCTTCTACTTCATCATCATCATCATCCTCTTATTCTTCTTTTTCATCCTCATCCTCGTCTTCTTCTTCTTCGCCATCATCCTCTTCTTTTTCATCATCATCATCCTCTTCTTCTTCTTCCTCTTCTTCTTCATCCTCATCCTCATCCTCATCTTCTTCTTCATCCTCATCTTCTTCTTCTTCTCTTCCTCTTCTTCTTTTTCTTCTTTTTTTGTCTTCCTCTTGCAGGTCACGGCTCATGCGCAGATTTTTTTATCGGTAAAAAATCGGCCGATTTGCCCATCATTGCCGCGAAAATCGGCCGATGGCAAAATCGGCCGTTTTTTTTCCAACTTTACCGATAACAAAATCTGCCAAAATACTGAAAAACGGCCGAACAAATAGCCCACTAACGATCTGAAAATCGGCCGATTTTCGACCAATCTATGGCCTGCATTAGTCTCCTGAAGAAATCCTCCATATCTGTCAATACTTGTAAACGATCCAATTTGGTGGTTGGGCAGAATGTAAGGAGAGAAGAGGAGGAGAAAACTAAAAACTGAAAAACAGAAAGTGAAAGTCAGCCGAGAGCCATTTTCTGCTCCACACCCAACACAGACATCTCCATGTCACTGCCATAGACCGTCACCCTCTCAGAGGAACACAGAATGGAGGGCAAACCCAACCTGTATCCCGTACTACTTCAGTGGGATCAGGGGATCGAGGAGCTGAAAAAACGAAAGAAAACCCTTCTGCTGTATTTCCAAAATCCCAACAAGTCTAACGGAGGAGAATGTTAGATTCCCGATACCGACTGCAGCCAGGGGATACGTCACCATATACTTCAAGGAGCAGAAAGGTAGGTACTGGGGTAAGGACTACTCATATATACTACAAGGAGGGGGCAGGTAAGTACTGAGGACTGGAGGGGATCCTCATACACTACAAGGAGAAGGCAGGTAAGTACTGAGGACTGGAGGGGGATCCTCATACACTACAAGGAGAAGGCAGGTAAGTACTGAGGACTGGAGGGGATCCTCATACACTACAAGGAGGAGGAAGGTAAGTACTGAGGACTGGAGGAGGATCCTCATACACTACAAGGAGGGGGCAGGTAAGTACTGAGGACTGGAGGGGATCCTCATACGCTACAAGGAGGAGGCAGGTAAGTACCGAGGACTGGAGGGAGATCCTCATACGCTACAAGGAGGAGGCAGGTAAGTACTGAGGACTGGAGGGGGATCCTCATACATACGCTACAGGGAGGAGGCAGGTAAGTACTGAGGACTGGAGGGGATCCTCATACGCTACAAGGAGGAGGCAGGTAAGTACTGAGGATTGGAGGGGATCCTCATACGTTACAAGGAGGAGGCAGGTAAGTACTGAGGATTGGAGGGGATCCTCATACGCTACAAGGTGGAGGCAGGTAAGTACCGAGGACTGGAGGGGATCCTCATACGCTACAAGGACGGGGCAGGTAAGTACCGAGGATTGGAGGGGATCCTCATACGCTACAAGGAGGAGGCAGGTAAGTACTGAGGACTGGAGGGGATCCTCATACACTATAAGGAGGGGGCAGGTAAGTACTGAGGACTGGAGGGGGATCCTCATACACTACAAGGAGGGGGCAGGTAAGTACTGAGGACTGGAGGGGATCCTCATACACTACAAGGACAGGTAAGTACTGAGGACTGGAGGGGATCCCCATACACTACAAGGAGGAGGCAGGTAAGTACTGAGGACTGGAGGGGATCCTCATACACTACAAGGATAGGTAAGTACTGAGGACTGGAGGGGATCCCCATACACTACAAGGAGGAGGCAGGTAAGTACTGAGGACTGGAGGGGATCCCCTGTCATGTAATAATAGAGAATGTATATACATATATAGATAATAAAACATCTAATATATCAATTTATATTAAAATACCAAATAAATAAATTCTGTTGTACTTTTCCGTTACGTTTCCTGTAGAAATATTTGAATATTTATATTTATTTTTTTTCACAGATCAGCAAAGGGTTGTGCAGAAAAATCCTCATCATCTTCTATTACAAGGCGGGAGCACATTATCGCTGCGCGTCTCATTACCGGACGCAGAAAACGCTCAGAAAATGGGCGGTTCTTCCTCCTCACTGGACGCTTCCCATGTAAGTTCCACTTCTATTGTTACTGCAGCGCTACCCTTTAGGAGCCGCTGACGTTTTGGGTCCCCCTATAGTCCTGCACAGCCAGGCAACACGCATTTTCCTCCACACTTTGCACACTGGAGTCAGCAAACAGTGCTTGAGCTTGGTTTTGGGGTTGATAACTTGGATGGGGTTGAGGGGTGTATGGGGTGCCCAAGGGAACTGTGAACTGGAGGACCAACTATGTTCAGATTTGCAGACCACAATAGTCTCTCATTTAGGAGCCCTCCAGCTCTCCCGGAGGTGTACCTCCTCCATCCTCAGATGAATCCTCCTCTTCACCCAGCTGTCCTGAGGGTATTCCCAGGGTAAGGGGGCCCAGAAGCTGCCGTCACAGCAGTCCCGGAGTAGAACTCTGTTGGGTTTTCCACCTGACTGCCCTCTCCCATTATCCAGCCCAGGGGGTCTAGGAGTACCCACACTGTCCACAATGTCAGCTTGGTGGGTTGGTGGCTACCTTCAGGCCTTTTGCTGAGCTGGCTCCTTCCCTGCTGCTCAGGATGCCCCTCCTAAAAGACAATGGTGCAGTAGAGATCCTCCTTTCCAGCACCTGCCTGTAGGTGGCCCTTTCACTTATTGTATTAATTCAGGAAAGGAAGGGGCTGATAAATGTGACATATTTACAGGACCCTTGGACTCTCCATCCTGAGGAATCCTATTGTGTGCTTGCAGCTGCCAGAGGGAAGGAGAGGAGGGAAGCTGGAAGCACTGCGGGGGCGGGGCACAGAGGGGGTCCCGGGCAGCAGTTGGAAACATATGGTGCACAGGGAAGGTGATGGGTGCGGCAGGGGCCAGTTACTGGAACTCATCCCCTGTATTGCTCTCTCTGTAGCAGCTGAAAGCTAACAGAAGGGAGAGGAGAAAAGCCGGCTTGCAGCTGCTGTAGGGAAAGTCATACAGAGGATCGGTTTCAGGAATTGAACCCTCCCCACTGTGCCGATCACCCTCCCTGCCCACATCCGATTCACCTACGTAGCTGCCTTGGACCCCCTGATGGCCTGGGCTACGTAGAGGAAGACTGGTGGTACCCCCTTATCCACGGCCCCGCTTCTCTGCTCCCCAGGCTCTGTCATACTTAAGGGTTGCCTTGGTCACCATACCCAGCCATACCACAGCACACCTGTCCTGAGGTGAACTCCTGTCTCACTCACAGGCTGACTCATCCCCAGGCTGCTACTCATCCTCTATCTATGGACATGTCTATATGACATCCTCCAGAACTGCGGCTCCCACGCGCCCCCTGGGGAGCGCATTGGGCAAGCTCTGTGATCGATGTGTCCGTCGGACACACCTAATCACATGACATGGTAAAGGGCCAATCAAAGAGCCCTTTTTCGATGTGATCAGCTGTGTGCAATGACACAGCTGATCACAATGTATATACAGTTACCGGTCATCGGCTGCACTTTCCTCGCACTGTCACTGCACGAGGAAAGAGGAGAGCCGGTAATCGGCAAGTATATTTAAAAAATCAAAGGCAGTTCAGTGCAGCCCCCAAGCCCCGACAGTGTCCATCAGTGCAGTCCCAACAGTGTCCATCAGTGCTGCCACTCAAGTGTCCATCAGTGCCGCCAGTCATTGTCCATCAGTGCCGACAGTCATTGTCCATCAGTGCCACCAGTCATTGTCCATCAGTGCCACCAGTCATTGTCCATCAGTGCCACCAGTCATTGTCCATCAGTGCCGCTAATCATTGTCCATCAGTGCCACCAGTCAGTGCCCATCAGTGCTATCAGTGACCATCAGTGCCACCTATTGGTTTCCATCAATGCCGCCTATCAGTGAGCATCAGTGCCACCAGTCAGTGTCTATCAGTGCTGCCAGTCAGTGTTCATCAGTGCTATCAGTGACCATCAGTGCCACCTATTCGTTTCCATCACTGCCGCCTAGCAGTGATCATCAGTGCCACCAGTCAGTGTCTATCAGTGTCACCAGTCAGTGTCAATCAGTGCCACCAGTCAGTGTCCATCAGTGCCGCCAGTTAGTGCCCATCAGTGCTGCCTATCAGTGCCACCTATTGGTTTCTATCAGTGCTGCTAGTCAGTGCCCATCAGTGCTGCCTATCAGTGACCATCAGTGCCACCTACTGATTTCCATCGGTGCTGCCTATCAGTGCCGCCTCGTCAGTGCCCATCAGTGCAGCCTATTAGTGCAAATCAGTGAAGGAGAAAAAAATTACCTGTTAACAGAAACTAATGCAGGCCATAGACGGGTCGAAAATCGGCCGATTTTTCGGCCGAAAATAAAATCGGCCGATTTTCGGATCGTTAGTGGGCGATTTGGTCGGCCGTTTTTCGGTATTTTGGCCGTTTTTGTTTTTCGGTAAAGTTGGAAAAAAATAGGCCGATTTTGCCGATCGGCCGATTTTCGCGGCAATTAGTGGGCAAATCGGCCGATTTTTTTACCGATAAAATATCTGCGCATGAGCAGTGACCTGCAAGAGGAAGACAAAAAGAAGAAAAAGAAGAAGAGGAAGACGATGAAGAAGAGGATGAAGAAGAAGAAGAGGAAGAAGAAGAGGATGAAGAAGAAGAGGATGATGATGAAGAAGAAGAGGATGAGGATGAAGAAGAGGATGAGGATGAGGAAGAAGAAGAAGAAGAGGATGAGGATGAAGAAGAAGAAGAAGAAGAAGAAGAGGATGAGGATGAGGATGAAGAAGAAGATGAGGATGAAGAAGAAGAAGAAGAAGAGGATGAGGATGAGGATGAAGAAGAAGAAGAAGAAGTAGGATGAAAATAAGAAGAATTCCAGTCCAGCATAAAGTTTCTCTGCAGAGAGCTCCGCTATTTCTGACAGTTCTCTGACAGTTCCTTGACATTTACAGCGGTTGAAACATTGTATCTATTTGTTTCCGAATAAAAACATCTGTATCCTAAATGGAAACAAATAGATACATTGTTGCAACTTCTATAAATGTCAAGGAACTGTCAGAGAACTGTCAAAGAAATAGCAGAGCTCTCTGCAGGGACACTTTTTGCCGGCTCTAGACGGGTAGAAAATCGACCGATTTTTTTTACCATTGATGGTAACGTCGGCCACTTGAACAACCGATTTTTCGTTTTTTAAAAGAAAAATCTGCAGTTTTTCTCCCCATCTATGGCCTGCATTAGAAAACAAATTATTTTGTTTCAAAAAAATTTGTTCTTTTTCATTTGTTTTGAAAAAAATACAAACCCCCCCCCCCCCCCGGTGGCGATGAAATACCACCAAAAAAAAGCTCTATCTGTCTAAAAAAAATGATAAAAGTTTCATATGGGTGCAGTGTTGCATGACCGCGCAATAGTCAAAGTGCGACAGCGCTGAAAGTTGAAAATTGGCCTGGACAGGAGGGGGTGGGGGGGGAGTGCCTGGTTGGCGAGGGGTTGAACAGCACTGAGGCACGAGGACTTTGCATTACACTATTGTCTCAACACAATTCCTGCACATCTGCTATCCGTTCTGTATCTGATCTTCTGTTGCCAACCTGATCCACCTTGACCACATCTGACCTCTACCCGTACCAACCTCTGGACCACATCTCCGCCAGTTCCCTCTACCTACCTGCCTCACCATTGCTGACTCTGGTCTGGACTTTGACAATTCTTCTTCTTGCTGTTTTGCTCCTGACCCGGCTTGCCTGACCCTGCTGTACACCCTGAGCCTGCTGTACACCCTGAGCCTGCTGTACACCCTGAGCCTGCTGTACACCCTGAGCCTGCTGTACACCCTGAGCCTGCTGTACACCCTGACCCTGCTGTACACCCTGAGCCTGTGGCTGTCATCTGTAGTCAGCCATCTGCAGCCTCCCAAGTGCCTGCTGTGTGACTCTCAGTGACCTGCCAGCCCGCCATCTCTGCCGTTCAGCATCCACAGTCCAGCCTGCATCCACGTACACACGGACAACTCATCCACCTCGGACATCGCAGAACTCATGCCTCTCTGGGCTCTCCTGCCTCCTGTTACCTTACCAGGGGTACTGAGCAGGAGGTGTAAGAGAACGCCTACCTCTCCACATCAAGGTCCATCACCAGGTACATGACAGTGCCATAAGGCCATATCAGAGCCTGAGAGAGGGGCTTCTCCCCTGGATGATATTTGCTGGTACACCCGACTTGAGAATTGCCTCCAGACCTCCCCCCATGTCTTCAACTACCGTTGTGATGCTGCCTCTGGAGCCCAGAGTTCCTGTAACGGAACCGACCCAGACTGTGCTTGAGTACTTCCGTTAGAATACTGCTTCCCCGTCCAAACACCGACAACAGACACCACAGCCGACCATACAAGACGACACCAGTGTTGAAGTAAATCAGAGAAGACTAGTTTATTTTTACACAAATACAAGATATATACACTCAGGGGACAATCCCCCCTCCCTGCATAATGACACAGGGCGGGGCAATCCCCCCTCCCTGCATAATGACACAGGGCGGGGCAATCCCCCCTCCCTGCATAATGACACAGGGCGGGGCAATCCCCCCTCCCTGCATAATGACACAGGGCGGGGCAATCTACATTTAGTAACAAGAGACACACAGGTATTCAAAATTCACACCAGCAGACAGTCCCATCAGGAGGGAGGGCTGCTGGCGACACCCTCCACTAAGCTAATACACACAAACACATACATCCCATAATAGTTTGCTCCCAAGCCAGACACACAATAGAACAATGGGATGCAACCACATAACACCAAACAATCCACAACCCCCCACCCCAATATTAGAACAGATCCCCCTGTACCCCTAACAGACACATAAGAGGGATATGGGGAGCTGAGACAGGGGTCACCCCACCTGTCCAAAGTGAGCTGTGTTCCATGGGCCCCCCCACCCAAAGTGACTCCCTTCACAGTTCCTATGCCTATTGTCTGGTGATTGTTGCAAGTTCTGAGCATTCCGCAACACATGTGAACTATAATTTGCACTACAATCTCACACCTTTTCATTAGAGGTGACCAAAGTGGGGTTCGCCATATCACTACATTGAGGCAAATCTTAACCTGGGCTCATCACTTACCAGCACTCATTCTGAGCCACCCGGATCCTGCCTTACCTGTTGTCTTGGAAGTAGATGCATCTGAAAACGCAGTGGGGGCGGTTATGTCACAATGTCAGGGCCTTCAACCCAGAGGCGGGTCACTCTTGTAAACTGTCCTCTGCTGAGATAAATTATGATGTAGGAGATAGTGAACTGCTCACAATCAAATCTGCTCTGGAGGAGTGGAGATACCACCTGGAGTGGGCAGCACATCCATCTTCAGCTACACAGATCACAAAAATAGTGAATATTTGAAGACAGCTAAGCGTCTGAAACCACATCAGGCCAGGTGGACACTTTTTTTTTTCATGTTTCACATATCTTACAGGCCAGGATCAAAAAATGTCAAACCTGAGGCCCTGTCCTGAATGTCTGATGATACTAAAGATCCACCTACTTCTAATACTGTGCTATCTGCAGGGAACATTTGCTGATGGAAGTTGATGTCCTGTCATAAATCAAGCAGGCTTCATTGGGAATTCCCTCTCCACCTGGAGTGACTGTCTGCAAAAGAAGGTTTATTGTGGTCTGGAGACAAGATATTTGTGCCAGAGAGTGGCCAAGTGTTCTGGGGCTGTATTATCCCTTGGTGGGGCATTTTGGGATCCACAAAACTATGGATCTGGTGCAATTGCTGTTCTGGTGGCCTGACATGGACAAGGACTGTGGTGATTATGTGAGTTTTTGCACCTCTTGTATTTGTAACAAGAGCAACAGGAGCAAGACCTGAGGTTTATTAGGTCCCTTCCAGTCTCTGATAGGAAGATTCTATCAGTAGATTTTATGGCTGAACTACCACCATCTAGGGCCATCTTGTCCTGGTGGACCATTTTTCTAATGTAGCATTACCCCCCTGAATTGAAGTTAAATTGGGGTCCCCCTATAGTACTGCAAAGGCAGTCCATTAGCACTTCTCACACAGTGTTCATCCTCAGTCAGAAAATCAGGACTTTTGTTTTTTGTTTTTTTTTTTATTAAAAAAGGAGTATATAGGATTCCCAAAGGAATCAAAATCCTGAGGACAAACTTCCTGAACTATTCACAGCTTCTCCTTTAAGACCCACACAGTGCTAGCCAGCATCTCCAGTTGTAGTACCCCAGACCACAGTTGAACTCCTCTTCCACCCAACAGTCTGTAGGTTGTCTTTCCTTTTATGAGCAGGGGATTAGGCTTCTGATCCCTTTAAATAGGGTTTCCCACCAAAGTGCACATGTGATCCTTTCCCAGGGGACCAGAGAGTTCTCTATGACTCCAGGCTTGCAGGCTGGCCCCATCCCAGCAGGCCTCCTGGTAGCCTTCTTCCTCCAGCCTCACATCTTCCTGGCTTCCACTCCAACACTCATCTCCTCATTCCCACTCCTCTCCTGCTACTGAGCAGGTTCCAACACCCTTTTAGGGAGTCCGGCCCCCTGCCAAGCAACCTGCTGGGGATTGGCTGAGATCCCTCAAAGGTGTGACAAATAACTCCTCAAATCCTCCCATTGCCTCCAAAGCCCTCCTCCGAAAACCTCAGAGCAGGGGGAGACTCCAGAGGGGCTGGTCTGCTGTGTCTCTCAGTCCTAACCAAATTCTGACCCCTCTGGCTATCACACCTGAGCTGCTAAGAGCTCCTGTCTAACCATCAGGGATCTAGATCCACCTAGTGTATATACAGGACAGGGGATGGGGGCAGGATATACAGGATAGGAGATGGGGGGTGGGATATACAGGACAGGAGATGGGGGGCGGGATATACAGGACAGGAGATGGGGGGCGGGATATACGGGACAGGAGATGGGGGGGGCGGGATATACGGGACAGGAGATGGGGGCAGGATATACGGGACAGGAGATGGGGGGGCGGGATATACGGGACAGGAGATGGGGGGCGGGATATACAGGACAGGAGATGGGGGGCAGGATATATAGGACAGGAGATGGGGGGCGGGATATACAGGACAGGAGATGGGGGGCGGGATATACGGGACAGGAGATGGGGGGGGCGGGATATACGGGACAGGAGATGTGGGGCAGGGTATACGGGACAGGAGATGGGGGGGTATACAGGACAGGAGATGGGGGGGAGGATATATGGGACAGGAGATGGGGGCAGGATATACGGGACGGGACATGGGGGGCAGGATATACTGGATGGGAGATGGGGGGGCAGGATATACGGGACGGGAGATGGGGGGGCAGGATATACGGGACAGGAGATGGGGGGCAGGATATACGGGACGGGAGATGGGGGCAGGATATACAGGA